AAAAGTCAATTTTTCCATCTCGAGCAGCAGCGCGTTTGCGGCGCGTCACGCGCGTCAGATGCTTAAACGCGCCCGACGCGCTGCGCCTGCTGCTCAAAACACGCTGCAGGACCTTTTGCTGCGCCTTGACGCGCATCAACCATTGACTTTGCATGTAAACTCGCTGCTTCTGTCCACCAGCTGCGTCTGGTGTAAACGCAGCATAAATTAGCTGGTCCAACACTGGACCGCCCATTCGCTCACGAAAGGTTCTGGTTGGCTGTCAAATAGACGTTTTTGGTCAAATACATCAGAACCTGGATTTAAAAAGTCTGTCTGGCTTAGAGGGTCCAGAGGAAGACCCGCCTTCTGGGATGGGAAATGGAAGAAGTTCTGTTCTGGGTTCGGATCTGCGTTCTGAACCACAGAGGAAACCTGAGACCAGAACCTGAGACCAGAACCACAGGAAACAACAAGTCAGCAAAGCTTTAAAGCCTGATCAGCACCACAGCTCCAGAGACCAGCCGGGCCTGGGTCGGACCGGACCGGGCCAGTGTTCTGTCAGATCGGCATACCTATAGGCAATACTCATGCGAAAGATGTCAGATTTGGGTTTATCCCTCTAGTTTTGTACGAAAAATGTACTTTAAACTACCTCAATGGGCGTATCCCTTTAGTCATGTACCAAAAAAAACAAAACAAGTTAAGATGAGATCGCCATACGCTTCAAAAAACACCAAAAAGTAAGTAATTAAATAGTTTTTTTTGTACGTGAAAGAATGCATACACACCGTTTAGGTAGTTTAAAGTTCATTTTTCATAAAATAACAAAAAAGGGGTGATAAACTAAAGGGATATACCCGGTTCTGACCAGGTTCGCTCATCTGACAGACCGGCTGAAAGCAACGCTTTGTTCTGTCAGATTCCCTCCGTCACCATGTGTGGGGTTCTGGTACCAGCTGGGATTCTGGGTCATGTTATCCAGCCCCTGAGTTGGATGGAGTCTGGGACTGACCCGGCTGGGTTCTCTCTGTGGAACCAGAACCAGACAGATGGAAAATAAAGGAAAAATTGTTTTTAAACCCTAATCTTCACACTGAAGCTCTTCAGACTTTTTCTTTAGAACTAGAACTCATTAGTGGTTCTAGGTTATCCCAGTTCAGGACAGGCGGTTTGGTTCTGAACCAACTAAAGTAAAGCTAAATGATCATGTAGGTAAGAAGAGGAGTTCAAAGTTCAAGACTTCAACTTCCTCCTGGAGCATTTAGAACCGGGCTCTCACCAGTACGAAACTGCAGGCCCATTTTGGTGTCTTC